CGATATGAGGATGGCCACCCCTGCTTGCTTACGAGGACTGTGTGCGTGGTATATTTTTTCCCAACCTTTCACCTTCAGCCTGTGTATGTCTTTTCCAATCAGATGTGTCTCCTGGAGGCAGCATATTGTTGGATTTGTTTTTTTAATCCATGTTACCAGCCTATGTCGTTTTATTGGAGAGTTTAAGCCATTAACGTTTAGAGTTACTATTGATATATGGTTTGTACTTCCAGCCATGTTTGATTATTTATCTTTTTTTTAAAATTTAGTTTGTTTCTCCATGATTAGCTTTTCCCCCGCCCTCTGTCTTTACCGAGGCACTTCCCACTGATGGTTTTGGTTATTTTTTTTCATTTCTTCCTCGTGTTTTGCTCAAGACGCTTTGCAATGCTGGTTTTCTGGCTGCAAATTCTTTTAGCTTTTGTTTATCATGAAAGATTTTTATTTTGTTGTCATACCTGAAGCTTAATTTTGCTGGATACAGAATTCTTGGTTGGCATCCATTGTCTTTCAGTGTTTGAAATACATTGTTCCAGGATCTTCTCGCTTTCAGCGTCTGTGATGAAAAATCCGTTGTTAACCTTATTGGTTTACCCCGAAAGTAATCTGCCTCCTTTCTCTTGTAGCTTTTAATATTTTCTCTTTGTTCTGTATATTGGATATCTTCATAACAATGTGTCTTGGCGTTGGTCTACTGTGATTTTGTGTGCTCGGTGTCCTTTATGCATCTACAATTTGTATATCCGTTTCCTTTTTTATTTCTGGAAAGTTTTCTGTAATTATTTCATTCAGCAGGTTACTCATTCCCTTGGTTTGAATCTCTATACCTTCCTCTATCCCGATGACTCGTAAGTTTGGTTTTTTTATGTTATCCCGTATCTCTTGGATGTTTTTCTCGTGATTTTTTACCAGCCTTTCTGAGTTGGCTAGACTCTTTTCAAGATGATATATTTTGTCTTCATTATCTGACGTCTGGCTTCTACTTGCTCCACTCTGTTAGTGATACTCTCAATTGAGTTTTTAATTTGGTTTATAATTTCCTTCATTTCTAGAATTATTGTTTGATTTTTTTTATTATCTCTATCTCCTAATAAAGATGCTTAACTTCTTCTTTTATCTGTTTATGTAATTCATTTTCAATGTGTTCTTTCACTGTTTGAATTTGCTGTCTCATATCCTCTTTAAGGTTCCATTCCATCTGTCTAAGGTATTCCTTGAGTTCTTTATATGACCATTTTTCTGATGACTCTAGGTCCTCCTGAATATTTAGGCTGTCCTGCATTGTTTGTATTCCTTTTCTTCCTTGCTATTTCATGCTGCTCATGTTACTTCTTGTTCTGTTTGATTGCTGAGTTACTGTTTACTCTTATAAATTTATTTGATGCTTGGGAAGAAAGATATTAGAAGGGAAGGGGAGAAGTAAGTCACTAAAGAGAATGAGAGTAAGCAGGCAGAATTCAAGGAAGGGGGAATAAGAAAATTGAAAAGAAAAGACAAAAGAAAAAAATAGAAAATAGAAAAAGAAAAAAAATTTAAAAAAATGAAAATTAAAATTTAAAAAAATAATAATATAAAACATTTAAAAAAATAGAAAAAAAATTCAAAAAACAACAAAAAAATGGAAACAAAACAAAACAAAAAAAACCCAAATTAAAAAAAATAATAATAATAAATACAGTCTTAGAGTTTGATTAACTTCTCTTCCAGTAGGTGGAGCTGTGCCCACTGGGCCAAGCTTCTCCTCTCAATAGGCAGGAACCAATCACTGTGCAGCAGCTCTTCCTCCCAGACTGGGCGGGTCTCCAATCCTGAGTGCCTCGGGCCTTCTCTTGTGTCTATTCACTTCCCCACTTTTCCTCAAGCTAGGCCCCGCTCACCTGTGATGCTCACCACAATACTGGCTACACGCAAGGTCTGCTGCTCCTGGGAGCCCTGTTTTCATGAACGCCTGGGCTCACTCTCCCTGTTTGCCTCCCTCAGACCCTAAGTTTGTAGAGCTTGGGGCTGAGATCCCCCAGCGAATTTGCTTGCCCTCCAGTAGCCACACCCCCGGTAGCTGGTGCAAGAGACCTCGGTTGTCAGCACTGGTGGGAGCAGTAGCCGGGAGTTCTGCGCTGCGAGTCCCGCGCCACGCCACTCCTGATTCCCTCAGTCTGGCTATCGCGCTCATGGGAGAGCTGGGAGGGGCCCTTACAGGAGAGCTGGGAGGGGCCCTTAAGGTTTCCCCGCTGTGTGGAGAGGGAGGGCTAGGGTATTACACACCTGTTGCCGCTGGTTTCAATGAAGTTATCTCCTCCGCCGCGTTATGGTGAAGTCAGTTCTCTGCCATGGTGGTATCCCATGCAAATGGTGACAGTTCGTTCCCTTTGCTGGGTGACCAATGCAACGGGTGGGTCCTGACTGTCTCTCCCAAGCCCCGTTTCAATCCTGTGGCCACTGCCTATGAAGGCTCAGTTGGCTTTTACCTCCGTAAGTTCAGAAGGGCTGACCAGTTGTTTCAGTGGGTCATTAGTGCTGAGTCACAGCACTTTGGCTGCAAGAAGCAGGCGAATGGGAGCTTGAATTCAGCCGATCCGGGCTCGGTGTGTGTTCTGAGAGTCTCAGACTGTTCGCCCCAGATCCAAGTCAGCTCAGCATTGCCTAGTGATCCTGAGCAAACAGCATTTAGACAGTTTATGACTCCCTATGCCCGCACAGCTGAAGAGGTCAGAGACTTGATCTCTCCGCGCCTGTCGCCATGTTGGATCCGTCAAGAATGATATTAATTTGATCTTTAGGTGATGATTAGTCTTTACCCTGGAAATCTTGCTAAAATAACCTAAAGAACTTATAATTTGAACTGATTTTTACTTTTGCCAGATTCTTTTTTATAATGAAATAATCAGTAATATTTACTTTCCTGATAGATGCATACTTTTGATTGGAGAAATACAGAAGAAAAATTTCATTGTCATTATGGTGCTCTTTATTTGATTTTAAATATTGTTTTTCTTCACCACTTTGATTTCAATATGGTAGTACACATTAGCAAATGAAATCCAATAAACAGTTGTGGGCTTTATAATGTGTTCAGTGCACTGTGCTAGATACTGTAGGGAATAATGTAAATATGAATATAGTAAGAACAAATTTCTAATGAATTAATATAAGATATAAGCACATAAGGAATTATAATAAAAAGCAAATCTCACATTTCTGTTTTTTCAAGAGCAATGAACTCTCATTGTGGTATACAGGAATTTGAGATCATATATTGTCATTGAAAGAAGTGACCCTAGCCCAGCTCTAGAAAGTGGGAACAGTTAGTTTCAACTGAGATGTGAGGAAGGTCTTCAGGGAGGGTGAGTGATTCATCTGGCTGTTTTTAAGACAGGAATGAAGTAATGGTGGACAGTAAGGCTTAGTAGAATAGAAAGCTGCAAGGGTGGGTAAGGATTTCTGCTAGTTTAACTGTACTATTTATCACATACTTCTCAAGTGCAAAGTGCCAGCTTTTCTGTGTATTATTCACATGATTCCCACAACCGTCCAATAGAGTAGGTACAGTAGGCTCTCATTTCTGGGTTCCTCACCCATGGGTTCAATGAACTGCAGATGGAAAATATTTGAAAAACAATGGTGTCTGTACTGGATACGCACAGACTTTTTTCCTTGTCATTATTCCCTAAACAATATAACTACTATTTACATAATATTTACATTCTCTTAGGTAGCATAAGTAGTCAATCGATAATTTACATGATATGGGAGGATGTGGGTAGGTTATGTGCAAACACTATGTCATTTTATATAAGAGACTTGAGCATCCTCAGATTTTGTAATCTGAGGAAAGTCTTGACACCAATCCCCCACAGTTACTCAGGGATGACTGTACTATGTTTCCCATTATATAAGTGAGGACACAAAAGAATTCCAGACTGAAAGAGCCTAGTTGAAAGTGAGGACCTAGATTATGGGTGCTAAGAGTATGGATTCTAGAGTCAGAGGTACAAATCCTACCTATTTCTTCTACTAAAGATCTTAGCAATCTTCTTACCTCTTCATGGATTACTTTTCTCATCTATAACATGGACTTGAAAGAATAATGTCTTCATTGGGATTAAATGTCTTCATTTGCATTAAATGAGTCAATATATGTAACGCACTTAAAATAGTGCCTGGTGAGTGGTAAGTGTATTAGGTAGAACTATATGAAATTGCTTTTTTCTAAGTCAAATATTGATAATTTTAGGTGGCTCAATCCAATAAGTGTTAACATATTATTAAGAAGGCAAATAGATGCCATTGAAGGGTTTTGCCCTCCCTGGTTGCATCCTATTCTCCTTTCCTTTCCTATGTACTTACCTCAGCCTAATAGTCACAACTGCTAGCTTTTTCTCTTCATCAATTGCCTTGCAAATGGAGTTCTTTCTACTTCAGTTCCTGAAAGAAATCTGAATAGCCCCAAAATCCATAAGAACACTGCTTAACTGTCTTCCACAGAGCCATGAGATAATAAAATATACTCCCATATTAGGGAAAATCACTTACCAGAGTTTCTATATTTCTTTAGTTATTGGATCAGACTGTGAAAAAAGCATACTTATAAAGGACATTTTATAAAAATATTTAATAATAAATATTTAATAATTTACTCACTTATTCATTCACTAATTCACTAATTACTTTATTCAACTTATTTTTATCGAGCACATCCTATATACAAGGCACAATATGAAGTACAACAAAGTATATAAAGATGAATGTGACAGGTTCTCTACTGTTAGTAAAGATAATAAATTATCTAGAGTTTAATTTGATCAATATATAAATGGTGAAGTATTTGAACTACATAAAACAAGAAAAATGTGTTTGTGACAAAACTTTATAGTATTATGCAAAATAACTCTTAAATAGACAGATTTTTGCCTCAGAAATTGTGTTAGTTGTTTATTTCCATATAATGAGCTATCCTAAAATTTAGCAGCATATCACAGCAAGCCTTTATTCTCTGTTTACAGGGATCAGAAATCCAATAGTGATTGCACTGAGTTTTCTGGCTCTGGGTCTTGCACGAGTTGCAGTCAAACTAGTAGATGGGATAAAGTTATCTCAAGACTCGACAGAGGGTGGAAGATCCATTTTCAAGCTGGTCCATTTATGTAGCTATTGATGGGAGGCCTGGATTTCTTGCTAGCTTTTGACAGAGGTGTAAGGCCTCAGTGTAATGCCTCATAAGGTAAGCCTTTTCCTAAGACTACTTAGACCATGAGAGTTGTTCCCCTAGAGCAAGAGAGAGAGAGCAACAAGGAAGCCATAGTGACTTTTTATGATCTAATCTTCAAAGTCACACATGCTTCCTTTTGCTTTCCCTTATTAGAAGCCAGTCACTAATTATTTTTAAAGAGTAGATTTTAAATATACTAATCATAAAGAAATGATAAGTATGTGAAGTGTTGGATATATTAATTAACTTGATTTAATTATCCCACAATGTATACATATGACATCACATTTAACCCTATAAATATAGAATAGCTATTTTTCAATTAAAAGTAAAAAAAAAATCAGTAAGTCCAACTCATTCACAGGTGAGGAGGATTAGGCTGCATCTTTTGAGAGGAAAAGTACCAAAGATTTTATGGATGTATCACAAGTTCAAGACCAGTCTGGGCAACTAAGTGAGACCCTAACCCCAAATAAAAATGAAACAAATTGAATATTAAAAAAAAAAATCAGAAAGGGCTAGGGATGTATCTCAGTGGTAGAGTGCCCATGGGTTCAATCCTCAGTACCATAAACACGCACACACACACTAAGAAAAAAATATTTAACACATTTATTATCGAAGCTTAATAAGTATAGCAAAACTAGAAATACATAATCACTCATAATTCTATAGTACAGACAAAATTACATTTAAATTCTTTTTTGTGTGTACACACAAATATTAGTGTGTGCATGTAACACATATAAACACATATGTATCTTGTTGATAATAAATATTTTGCAATATGTATATATTCTTACCTAGCTATATAAAGAAAATTTAGCTCTATAATCCAAATTTGGAAAAAAAATTAATGACCACATAACATTTTCTGAGTAAATGTGTTGTTTCTTCTTAAATCTTTTTCCTATTTTTTGGACATTTATGTTTTTCACTTCCTTTTGTCACAATAAATGACAATATTATATTTGAAGAATGTCTTTGCGTCTCTATTTCTATATAAGATCTTTCATGTAGAATTATAGAATAAGCTTACTACTAACTTGTCTTAAAAAAATCACACCTATTTGTATTTCTATCATTTGTCGGAGTGCTCATCTCATTGTGATTTATTGAGTAGTTAATATTTCTTTATCTTTGCTAATAGAATTTGTCTTCTGTTGACATGCTAGTTACTATGTTATTGTTTTTCAACTCCAAGTTCAGTTCGTTGCCTGCTGTTATGAAAATGAGCATCAGCCCTTTAAGTTTCCTTTGCAGTTTACATGATGTCATGCTTTGCCAGCAGAGGGCGATGCAGGTGAAAGGAGGCTTTCTTAATTCCTAGGAGCTGGCAGGCCAGATTCCCGGATATAGGACTTTGCTTCTCCACCACTCTGCTCAGAGTGGTTTCTCCAGCCCAAGTTGCCTGTAGGGTGCAGCTTTCTTCAGCATTTGTTGCTTCATCTGCTTCTCCAGCTTTTGATTTGGGCAATGGTGGTCTACCCTGAAGCCCAGGTACAGGCCTCTTCCTTGGCTCAAATTGCTGCTGTCACATCTGAGCACAGTGTCTGCTCGCAGACTCAAGGGGTCAGCGATCTAGTGTGCTTCTTTCCTGGCATTTGTTCCATGCAGCTTCGAAGATGCCCCAGCCTAAATCTTATACAGTATTATTCTAGATTCCTGCAAAACAGCCCCTTCAGCTCCCAGTCTTCGTGTCCACCTTTAACAAAGCTCCTAGTTCCTCTGTGTATCTCCCTCATCTAGTCACACTCCAAAGGTTAGTTCCTGCTTGCCCAGCAAGTGTGCTGCTGCTCTGGCCTGGGCAGCCTCCCTAACTTCTATCCAGGGGGCTGCAACCACACCTTTCCCAGTAAATTCTGAAATCCCCATTCAATTTCTTCCTTTTTAGGGTTGTCTCCCTCAGCCTTAGGTACCCTTTCATGTTCTCTTACCATCTTTACACATACTCTCCCATCATGACTTCATAATTCTTTTTAAGTTACTGCATATTTCTGTCTGCTGATTGAGCATATACACGAAGAGGTGATCGCTGTTAAAGATACAACTTTTTTTCATATACTTAGTTGCCATTTGTACTCCCTCATCTGGGATTTTTATTTTCATATCATTTCATAACATATATCTTTTTATTTTCTATGCAAGGCTTGGTACTTATGCATTTTGTAGATTTTCAATATGTTAATTTTTATCATTTATAGAAGGCACTTCATACTGCCTTAATTTTTTTAAGTAGACTGAATTTTAACTATCACATTTATCTTATTTTAGTGAGACAAAACTATTTTCCTATTAACTCATTGATGATAAAAGTAGAAGCCTCTTTTTTACTCAGTAAAAGAGTAACAGAAAAAGTCATAGTACACTTTCACTTTCAACCAGTTCAGATTTTTGTGATAATGGTAAGTAATACCTCTGTCTTAAAAATGTTTCACATTTTAATGTTAATAATTAATCTTTCAACTGGGTTTATTACATACAACCTTATTCCTTAGGATATGCAATGACCAACAATATAACACAATGCTTATGAAAAATGCAAGTGGAAGTAGTTTGGGGAGTGGAAGAATGTTGGACCATTCTTCATTTTAATACAGATTCATAAATAAAATCATAGCTGGAACTTGTAGCATTTCTTCCTTCTGAGTGGGTTTTTTCAAGATGAGCTTAGCAGACTGTAAGTACCTCGAGTGTGACTTGTAGACCAGGGTGCTGCGACAGTACAGTTCCAGACCTCTGCCTGCCACAGCCACCACAGCTTTGCTTTATCCACTGTACTCATTCAGCCAAAAATAGATATTTGTGGCCAAGTCTGGTTTTATCTAATGCAATATATTAAGTCTTTGTAGTATATTTGCTTGGAAAAATAAAGAAAGGGAGTTCAATTTTAAGAATAGTTTTGAAAGTGCTTAGTAGAGCAGAGAAAGAAAAAAGGGCCAAGACTGAGAAAATGATAATTTGGATCTCTTAACAGACTCCATAATCTTTTCCTTCCCAAAAGATAGATAGCTGTAATATTACAGTCATCAATTCAAAGAGAGGCAGTCCTGGCTTTAATGAAAATGTCAGCTTGTTCAAGGAGATGTGGAACACTGTGACTGTCAGATCCCTGATGGTGTAGGAATATGATTCTTGTTCATTTTAAGAACTGGCTGTTTTTACTTCCAGTCATTTCTGTGTCAGTTGCTGATATTTCAGTTCTCTTGAGAATTCAAGCTAAAAGAAGTTTGACCTGCATAATATCTAAAAATGCCACTTAAACTTATGTTCATTACACATTTTATGATAATAGATATTTTTGGAATACACAGTATCCAAACTTATTTCAGTTTCTGAAACTAGATTTGAACTCAATTTTAGTCTAAACATGAACCCTGGTTAACCTTATCACTTCAAAGAAAAACAAGCTGCTTCAACATTTGGTTTTCTACCAGTTCAAAGTCACAGGTAATGGTTTGAATGCTAGTGCAGACTTTACGCATTTGTCAAATAGCAATCTCTCTGTAATTTTGTTGACATGTTTTAGTAATCGAGGCCTGTATTACTAAACTGTCGTCTCTGTTTTTACTTTCCGTTTACTTTGAAGACATTTCAGTATAATGGCCTTTTCTGTGTGGAATCTGGAAATGAGAAGTAGGAGAGAGTATTAAAAACGGACGCATACTGTGCATTCAGTCTTTTAAAAGGACCAAGTGCCCAGGTGCACACACTTGACTTACTTTGCTATTGTTTTTTGAATCTCTCTTTTCTCTTCTTCATTTAATCTTTGAAGAATGGACTCCAAGAGGGAAAAATGAAAGTTAATGTATTGCGCCACCTGAGAAAGATAAAACACACAAAAAAAGAAAGCAGAACATTTATGTGAGAGGTGCTGAGTCAGGAGGGAAGATGCAGAGGCAGATTCAGGGTGGTCATATCCATACATCACTGCTAATTTCTTCTGCATCTTTATCCATAAGAAAAATTCGAGCGTTGTTTTTGGAAGGTCCTTGTAGAAGCCTTTGCAGTAGTGGGATATCTGTCTTTTTTAGCCGTCTCTGCTCTGCAAATGAAAACAAGAATCAACTACATTCAGGGATCATCCTAGAGAAAAAGAAGAAAGATGATTTTCCCATTCACTTTCTTTGTCTCATTTCGGAAGAAATAGACCTAAAGAGAACATACAACAGGAAGCTCTCACTTGAAATGGTACAGTATCCCCCCTCCCCTGGTTTGGGGCAGCTGTTCCAAGACTCCAGTGGGTGAAACTGCAGATAGTACCAAATCTTACACATGGCATGTCTTTTTCTTATACACACATACCTATGATAAAGTTTAATTTATAAATTAGGCACAATAAGAGATTGACACTAATAATAAAGTATAAAACTGTAACAAATATATTCTAATAATATCATCTGCATCACTACTCTGAGGCCATTATTAAGTAAAATAAGGGTTATTTGAACACAAGCCCTGTGGTACCTGTGGTACCTCAACAATTGATGAGTAAGAAAGAGACGATCAGGTCAGAGAGAAATGGGAGGCAGTGATGACTACCCTAATAGATACAGCAAGAAGAGAAAATGAAAAAGATAGATGTGCAGAGGTGGACAGAGATATAATTGCCTAACACTTCCTGGAGAACCCTCAGTGGACCCCCAGGGGTTCTGATCCCCATTCAGATAATCGAACGGCCACTAAGAAAACTCTTAAGTATTATAAATTCTTTGAGGATACTTCAACTTTAGATTATCTTTCTCTAAAATTGAAGGACATAAGTAATGTTTGAAAACCCTCTTCTCTTTCTCCTACCTTTCCTCTCTTTTTTTTTTCCCCCACAGAATGAGGTCATTATAATACACTGGAGTCAGGTGCAAAGAATGATCAAGCTTTCTTACCTCCTGTTGAAAAAATAATGTAAAGAGCAAAATCCTGAGGACTATTCTCAATCTGTCAATGGAAAAAAAAAAAAGAACAGACATGATTCTTTGTTTTCATGATATTTTCTAAGCCAACCAACTCCAAATTATGCATTTATATCCTCACTTTCCTTTTTTACTCTCAAACATAAAACCTCTGCCCTCTTGGAAATAATGTGATTTCTCAGGGCATCATTACTAAATGGTGTTATACAAAGAAAAGACTCCTTCAGAACTGGACATACAATTTAGATTTACATGTTCATGGGTCTTTTCAGAAGAGTGCATTTATTTGTCCACAGTTAAATTATATTCAAGATACGTATAGCTCTGCTTAGTATAAAGAGTACCTTAAATTTTTGGAGAAGTTGCTTTATTACTTCTTCAGTTGTCATGGTACTGTTTATTCTGACCTTGGTTTCTGATCCAAAGGCCGGGGTGAAAATTGATGTCTAGGAAAAAAATGTCATATAAGTCCTTTAAATTATATAAAGCTAACAAAAATCATATTGTGAATCTGAAGTGGGAAGAATATATAATTCCTGAAAGTGATGACATTATTTCACAGGATATTCTAGAATTCTCAAATAACTAATTATTTAACATAGTCTTGGCAATGTA